GCTCCTCGCTCAGCAGGGAGCCTCCTTCTTCCTCCGCCTGACATGCTCTCTCTCTGACAAATAAATAAATAAAATATTTGAAAAAAAAAAAAAAAACAAGTATCTCCAGAACGGCCTTGTGTTTTCCATGACGATCAGTTCTACAAATGCCAGTTATAAATTAGTTAAGACATTCCAAAAATGTTCATGTGAGAACTGTTTGACTTAGGGACATGGAAATTGAAACAAAGTCAAAGTAAGCTGTAACTAGGAAAGTTACATATATCTATCCTAGATAATGAGGAGCCTGTGAGACTTTTGCTTCAGTTAAGAGAAATTCTTTAGCACATACCGTCTATCTTCATATTATGCAAAGATAAAAGTAATCTTCACAGTGAAATTAAAATTAATGTCAAATGACGTGGACTGACTAATAACTTCCCTACATGGGTTTTTATGTTGAGTGATTGTAAAACCTGTAGATACTGTTCAGTAAGCACTTAATTGCATGCCAAGCACTGTGACGTGCTCCTCAAATGTGATTGCACATAATTCTTGCAACAAGTCTGTGAATGAGGCATTCTTATCTCCACATTAAAGAGAATGAAGTTGGGCTTACTGAAATTGGAGAACTTGGCCAGAGTTACACAGGTTGGACAAAAGCCTCCTCTGGACATTCAACCTGTATATCAGTGGCCAAAGCCCATGATTTTAACTACTACTTCATGCTATTTATAATTAGGTGATATTTTAGATAAGAGGATTTGTTTTTATTTTTTCAATGAGCAGCAAATATTTGGAAATCTCTATTGTCTTTTTAAATTTTTTTTTCTTACAGGGAACCAAAGTCCTGCAGATGTTCATGTGGTACCTGAATCCACGGCAGGTGTTTGATCTTTCTCAGGAAGGGCCCAAAGATGCGTAAGTCTGCAAATAACGCCCCCGTGGTCCACACTGGTTTAGGCAAGCAAGAAGGACTTCTGCTGTGAAGTCAAGCTTCATTATTAGATTACCTTGTGAAATATTTTCTGACCATCCCTCATTGACTTTCTCAACTGTAGTCACCTTCCTTAAACCTTCATCTGACGTTTCTCCTCCGACTCTTCTTTGGGCTAATTCCCTTCCAAACTAGCTACACAGTTGTTAACTCAGGGCATATTTCTCGTGTGTTTGCTGTTCATGTGCCTGCAACTGTAGATTATTTACAAGTCTGCACTGAGAAAGGATTTGTCCTTTTTCTACTTATGCATGTACAACTTGGGAGATGTACATTAGTGAGAATGTAAGTGTATCTTTGGAGAGTGGCCATATTTGTTTATGAATGTGTTCGTGTATTTGAATAAGAGGTTTGTGTGTGCACCTGTGTCCATTTGAGACAGATTAATTGATTATGCCTATGGATTCCACACCAGAATGGGAAGACATTTTAATTCCTGCTCAATCCCTTTTTCTGAAGTTCTCAGAAGTTTCATTCTGTTTCTGTTAGAAGTGCTGAAAATAAAGTTTAGACGTAGGTGACATGTATCCTGTATCTTCCCTTTGGTGGCGGTGGTCCTGTATGTGGTGGAAAAGAGCAGGACCATTTCTGCTACTGTGGGATTCCCTTTTTAAAACCCATGTATTAACATAGTTTGGATGTCATTGGATAAACAGAACTTAAGGGATACTAATTATTTTTAAATAAGTAATAATATCAGAGGCAAAGTAGCCAGCTGAGATCATTTCTAGAGAAATAATATTCCTGTATGATATTAATAAATCATATATTTGAAGCATTCAGGAGAACATTAAATATAAAAATTAATTTCTGCCATCATTCTTTTAATCTATGAACTTCTTCACCACTAGAGTTCGCTATAAAACTTCTCTATTTTCTTTTGTGTATTTGGATGGGCTAAGGCAAATCTGCTACCCTGGCTTTTGCCCTTTCAGATGCTTTTCTTAAAATCTTATCACTTTGGTTAGACTTTAGGCAGAGCCTTCATAGGTCATCCTAACGAATGTGGCCAGATTGCCAGAAAAAAAAATACCTTGATTTGGAAGATGATATTTTTTAGAACAGAGACATTGACAGTTTCACTTAAGGAAATGTTTTAGCAGGGGTGCTATAGTTGTGTTTTCTCAAGAGCCAGCATGAAAAATGATCTAATTTTAAGCAGACAAATTTTAAATAAAGAAAAATCAGTAAATCTTCCCTCTTTGGGCTGAGGAGTATAAATTTGGCTCGAGTGTTAGTGAATGAGTGGAGAGAGAGCTAGAATTGTAAGTGTGTGGTAATGCTGTGGGCATCCTCCCTCCACCCTGTCTCTCGGAAAAGGTTTACTGGGATTAAGAGTGGAAAGTGTAAGTTTGAAAAGCAAATCCAGGAAAAGCTGACAAAAAATAAGGAGGAGACATATAATGACTAGTGATTACCAGTTAATGAGGATTTTCTTTGAGAAAGGAGGAAGGAGTATGATGGGAAAAGAAAAGAAAGTCGGAACTAATTAGGAAAACCATGTGAGTTGATGCATTAATAGGGATTATGGGAAATAAAACTCTGGGACATCCTGAAATCCCATTCCAATGTCAGCCATTTAAAAATGATTTTTGCTGCCAACCTCTGATCCAGTTGTTGGGGTCCATCCCCTTGTGATAACTTGGTAACTAGTTTTGATGACATCATTATCCTCATGATTATACATTTTCTCCAGTGGACATCCCCTCCTCCTCTTTTGCTCATGTTTTCTCTCTGCGATGGCCAGTGATGAGCTCTTTTGTTTACTTCATGTTCTTTTTCCTCTACAGGCTTGAGTTGTATAGGAAAGTACCAAATCTGCGAATTCTGGCCTGTGGTGGGGATGGAACGGTAGGTCCTCGAGATAGAATCAAGCTCTCTCCCTTATTTCTTCCATCTTTCTTTTGCTCTCTGTATGACAGTTCTCTTTATTCATTCCCACCTCACCTCTTGCCAGTCCCCTAAGACCTAGGTCTCTGTCTATGAGAATCATAGCCCATAAAGGCTTAGAAGAGATGTTGTTATTGTCTCCTGGATTCTTAAATTATGTTCTGCTCCCTCAGCTTTACTGTTACCCCTTCCTGTTCTACAAGGTAAGAAGGGAGTCAGATCATTAGAATGAAGGTTATAGATGACTAAGTTCTTAATTTAAAAAATAACTTATTTATTTTGGTTCTTAATAATTGGTCACAGTCATTAAGGAGAAGTATATGGACAAAATTACTGCATTTGTTCTTTTATGAGAGGAGATAAAACTTAGAATACTGGCAGTGGTTTACCTTAAAGATCATTGATTGGTTTCCTTTGTATTCATTTTTGAAGAAAAGATGGAATTGTGCTGAAGTTTAATATTATGGGTATATTTTCCTCTATTTGTCTCATCTGTTTCTCCATTTGCCCTCTACTTATGTTGGTATATTTAGCAAAGGCAGAGAATTGAGAACCATGACATTTAGACTCTGCTGCCCAGTGTCTTTTTCTTCTGTATTTGGAGTCCGCTCTCACAGGACCTAGAATTTTTATTATGAACCCTCTTTGGCTTTTCTCTAATCTCCCTAATTAGAATGTTTTATTCTTGAAGGTAGCAACAAAATCTTTTAACTACCTCTCATAGCACTTAATACAGCATTGGATATACATTATATACCAATAAATGCAACTGAAAAAAAACAGAACAGTGTTTCCACTGGTCCTTTAAGATACTCCCTGAAGATGAAAACATTTTTCAGTTGGGAAAATAGTGTTTACCTTTGTCAAGATTCACAATGCACATTATTAGCTTATAAAATTCATTATACAATTTTACAGCTGAGAAGCCAAACCTGTTTCACTTTATTTAACCCAGTGTTTTCCAAAACTATTTGACCATGGAATATTTTCTGCCACAATACTAATTAAAGTTCAATCAGTTGAAGTGTTCTAGGATAGGCTGGTTTGGAATTTTCCCAACTTTTTTAGTAGAATTATATCCAAACAAATCCTCTGGGAATATATTTGTATTTAGTATATAGTATGTGTGTGTGTGTGTGTGTATATATATATATGTATATGTATATATATTTGTATATTAAATATATATTAGTATATTTATTATGTGTAACATACATATACACACACAGAGTGTTCTTAGCTCAGCTGTCCCCAGGTTAGTTATCTTAAAATATAAACTTATTGTGACCCTTTACTACAGTTCTTTTCCTTATTTTAGAATCTCCTTATCTTTCTATATGGCTTCAGCATTTGCTCCCATCTTTTCTCCTTCACAGTGATAGCAGAAAGTTGAGGCTATGCCTGTTGTCCTGAATTCATAGTTCTTAGCCTTTCTTCATGGCTCAACCGAAGTGACCATGACCTCAAACGCATGTCCACTTCGCATTCCATCTTTACATCTTGGGCTTCACCACTGACTGAGTGCCACCCCTTCCAAATTTCTCACATCCTCCCGGAGCCTCCTGGCAGCTCGCTCTCGCTTCTCCTTTCTTCTTCCTTTCCTCTTCTCACTGGGAATGTGTAGAAAGCACGTTCTAGGTTATGTGGTTTTGAGGCATTCTCTGCAACTAGAGAAGTATTTGAAAACCTGGGGTTTTAAAGCCTGAAGGACGAAGAGAAGAGAGCCGAGTCCAGACACTCGTGACACAGTGGCCGTTAGGGAATCCAGGCCAAGGTTCCAAAGAAAAATGAAAAGATCGAGGTAGAAAGGACCACTCATAGTCTATTCTGTCAAGAAAAAAAAAAAAACAAAAACAAAATACAAAGGAGTTTCAAGAAAGACGCAGTGGTTATATCCTGAAGGAGAGACTGGAGAATTATCATTGATTTTGGAGACTAGGAGGTAACTAGTGGTTTTCAAGAAAACCATCTCAGTAGCATGTCTGGGACAAAACCAGAATGACAAGCAAGTGACACTTGGTAGATGGCTAATGAATCCTAAAGACCAGACCCAATTACAGTGTTGGATATCTGTGAATACGCCCTGGTGCCATTAATAACACCTTTTTTACATAAAGACCAGCTAGTTCTCCTACTTAGCCTGTCTTTTCTAGCCTCCTTTCTTTAAATATACCATAATTAATAGGTACTCTGCAAGGCTAGATATTACTCTTCTTTTATGTCCTAGGTAGTTTTTCCTCCTGGGGACCGTATCTATGTTCCTGGCTTCAGTTTTCACATCCTTCCACATAACTTACAAATGCCCTTGACATTCATACTCGGGTCCCTTGCAACAGGCATGCTCCTAAGGAAAGTAGTAGATTTACCCGAGGGTTGGTGCATACTTTTGTACTAATTATTTTCTCAGTGGTAACCTCTGTAGTTTAATCATTCAGAACCAAGACTTGGCTTATCTTGTACCTTATATGAAACCAGGTTTTATTTTATTTTACTTTACTTGGTTAAAATGGATGTGTTGTGAAAGAGGCCTGGAGTTTATGAAATGTTTCTCTAGGTAAGTGATTGATATTTTTAATCTGATTAGTTTAGAATATGAAACTTTTAATTTTGAGTAGGGGCAGAGTTTCTATAAAGGTGAGGCCTCGTGATGGATTTATGAAGAAAGCTTGCTGGCTTGAGGCAAGTGAAGAATAATTCCTGAACATGTCAGGTATACATTTGACATAAGGCATTCAGCCTTTACTCGGGGAGCATATCCATCACTGTAGAAGCTGTCAGAATTCTGTCAGTATAGTGACAAGGTCCCAGAGAGAATCAGGAATGGATTTTTTTTTTTTTTTGACTGATTAGGAGGAGGATATATTAACCCTTAATGGCATTAGTTTGTGCACAAAGTAGTATTTCATGTATAGATGTCTCGCGTCAATTTGGAAACAAGTTCTTTGGCTTCACTGCTAGTTCTGTTTCGCTCTGCCTCCTTGCACTTTTAAATAACCCATCTCTTAGCACTGCACCTGGGGCAGGTTTCTAACCCTCCTTTGAGACCTTCTAAGTCTGCAAAGGGATACATTTGCCATTTCAACATGCGATCATAGAAAAATCACTAATGAGATAGTTTGTGTTCAATGTGTGCTGTCTTCAAAATCCGGTGTATATTTCTACTTCCATCATCTCCAGTTTGTATTAGACACATTCCAGCGCTCAGTCACCGCCTGTGGCCAGTGGATGCTTCAGTGGACAGTGCAGGTGTGGTCTCTTTGGAACTGGTTAGCACAGTCCTAAGGTGGTCACGTAGTTGCGGGTATTGGATGGGCTTGTCTCACCTTTGATCTCTAGGCTGAAAGAAAACTCCCCTCACTTAAGAACGATCTCAGACCTGGGGCACCTGGGTGGCTCAGCCGTTAAGCGTCTGCCTTCGGCTCAGGTCATGATCCCAGGGTCCTGGGATCGAGCCCCGCATCGGGCTCCCTGCTCAGCGGGAAGCCAGCTTCTCCCTCTCCCATTCCCCCTGCTTGTGTTCCCTCTCTCACTGTGTCTCTCTCTGTCAAATAAATAAATAAAATCTTAAAAAAAAAATCAGTGATGATAGTCACTGTAAAAAAAAAAAAAAAAGAATGATCTCAGACCTTCATGTTTATAAACTAGTTGCTTTTTGGTCATGTGGCGATTGTATACTCTTTCCCTTCTGTGGCCACATCTCTACCTGTCCAGCTCCCCATAGCCATCCCCCTGCTTAAATATCGAAGGGCATGTGAACCAAGACCCCAGAGGCACACATACCCTCCCCTCCTGATGGCTTCTCAAGGTGTAATGTGATCCCGACCTATCTGGCTCCTGACCTTGGTAACTGGGCTGGATCTGCTGGTCATCCTTTGACCATGTTAACGTCTATCCGAAGGCCTGGAATTAAACTACTTGGCCATCCACTTCATGCTTATTTCTTGATCACTTGGCTTCCCTAGGTGAGGATACACCCCAAACAGTAGGCACCTCCGTGCCCTGACTTACTACAGCCACCGCAGGGAAGAAAGTGGTATTTCCCTCTAACTGACAGTGGCAAGCACATCATTCCAAGCCCCTTTCCTCCCAAAGCCTCAGCTTATCTCAATCTCTCTACCCGCCCCCATCTCCCTCACCTTCTATCTTGATGTCTTTAGGGCTGACTTTAAACATTTCTTTTAACACACAGCGACTTGTAAGCTATGAAGTGCAAACATAAAGTATCAAAAGGAAGAATTGTAGTGTACACATTCGAAAGGGACACCCAGGCATTAAGTGCTATCTTGATGATCTTTCAGTTCAGAAATGTGAGCCTTGTTTCCTTTTGGTTTCTCAGTATGCCCATCCTTCACTTTTTGCCAGCATATAAGGCGATGCAACGTATACCTGGTCTGTTCAAAGAAAGTGTCAATTCACTGCTCTTCCTGCCCCTCCGCCGCCTCTAATGTTAGTACATTGCAGAATGAAACCACTGCTCAGCACGCACCGGGCAAACATTGGGTGATGGCTAGGGTGCCCCACGGACAGGTGGACAGGTGGACAGGTGGACAGGTGGACAGGTGGACAGGTGGGGGCAGCACTCACCAGCCAGGCTGCTTGGCTCAGGCACAGAGCCCTGGAGCCTGGCCTTACAGATCTGGCAGGCCTGCTCTTCCCAACACAAAGGCAGAAAGGAACGCTGCAAACTGGGAAGTGATTTCACCCAGTCCGGACCGTTTTCTTCAGTTGTGGTGGAAAGAATGCCAAGTGCTGTGTTTTGCAATTAATTACATTTAACTGAAGGAGTGCTGGATGAGCTGGTGGAGATGATTTGGGTAAATGTGAAAGCCCAGCAAACACAATCCCTGCCACGAGCCTGAAGCCTGAGCTTCCCAAAGGAACGGGTTCCTGGTAAGGGAGAGGCCCCAGTAACAGCCTTGGGCCTGAAGATATTTTATATTAGTTTTGCTTTTATAAGGACAGATATAGGTTATTACTCAAGATCTTTTACATCTCCTGCTTTTGTAGATGTATTTGTTTACATTCTCTCTCTTTCTTTGCAGTGCTTTTCTGCTTCAGTACAGCTTGGCTTTTCTGTTTTGGATAGTCTCTGGAAGACTTTGTGGTTGATGGCAGTCAAAGGTGGCATTGATTTGTGACCCTGAGGTTCAGCTTTAAGTGGAGAGACAGGAGGAGGGCATTTTGCTTCTTGGAAACTGGACCTTCATAGAGGAAGTGAAGAGGAAGAAAAATAAAGCTTAATCATAGCAGCTCATGTTAATTAAGCATTTCCTGTTGTGGGGCATATACTAAGTCATGTCTACATGTCATTGAACTGATAACATAACCCTAAGAGTCTTGGGAACTTGGAGAGATTGAGTGGCTTACTTAAACTTGCCTAGCCAGTGTGTGATGGGCTCTGTTTCCCTCTTCAGGCCTACCTTCCGTTGCCTTCGGAGGAAGCTGGTGTTGAGTCATCTAGCTCTTGGATGAGAAAAACTCTTAAGGATGGTGCAAAGCAAAGATACAGACCCACCTCTGCCAAAGAACTATTATTAGTCTAACACTGATGGCATTTGAGAGAATTTCACGACACATCTTGGTTATGAAAGGCAGGTGACATCTGATGAGTCCAGGGTTACGTGATGATGAAATACTAAACCTACCTGATTGTATTCAGGGAAAAAGGGTATATTTGGCCATTGGAAAAAGAAGGTAGAATATATTTATGCGGTTCTTAAATCAATTGCTAAGAAAGGGGAAGGTCCTTTCATTCAAATCAGTTATACATTTTCCTTTGCTGCTTAGGCGAAGTGTGAGAGAAAGAGAGAGGGTGAGAAGTCCCCGTGTCCTGAGGGCTCCTGCCTTTCTGAGGATCCACGGCACAGGATCACATGGATTCTTGGTCACTTTCTTTGAGAAAACAGGAACCCCTTCAGAAGGTTTAAATGAAGGCTGTTATACCGATTAAAGGATTATTGGAAGATACCTCATCAATTCATGGGAGTTACAGGACACTCATTTCAGTCATTTGAAACATATTTGTATTTCATGCACTGTGGACTAATCCCCTAACCTTCCCATCCATCTTGGTATTAGCGTTCTTCCTGCGATTTGGAAGATTTCTTTGCAGGCTTCTCTTCGGAGGAAGTTATTTTGTTGTGTTTTGTCTTTCCCTTTGCTTTGTCCCCCTCCTTTCATTATTCCTTCCTCGTCGTTTGCATGGTTTCTAGGACTCTGCGACTCGAGCGGGTTTTCGGTAGGTGACTCAGGCACCCATCCTGGGGAGATGTCCCATGTTGGAGGTCTGTAAGTGAGCCAGTTGGGAAGGTGGGCCCACCAAGAGGCTTCCTCCTTCCAGCTTCAACGGCTCTCCACTGTCTTTGGGCTATGGCCTTGAGCAGGGCTCCTTCATGCTCTTTTCCAGCTTCTCTCCTACTGGCCAACAGGGAGCCTCGTTCATACGTGGCCTCCTGCTGGGAGGTGTGACCTTTTACTCCCTATTATCAGACGGAAGCTGAACTCCTGGCTTTATCGGCTTGCCATTTTGTGTTTGGTTTGCTTCTGGTCCCCGAAGATTTATTTTTCCTATCATTGTGCCTAGAGTGCAGTGGGTATTGGAAATGTGAACACATGGCATTATCTTTACCAGGAAAAGAGAGACCTGTTTCACCTGAGCATAAGAAAAAAATTTCTAATTTAAATCCACCCGAAAGAAAGTAGACTGACTTGTGAGTACAATTCGTAAGGGGGAGACTGAGTGTTCATCTCTCGGAGAAGTTCGAAAGAGACTGCCTTCTGTATAGGAGATGTTGGATTCCATTTCCACTGAGTTCCATTGTGTCTCCAAGGGTCTCTGGGTCGACACAGGGCTGTTTGCATCTGTAGTCGGTGATCCCTGATTGCTGGGGTTGCTGAGTTTTCATGTCTTGTCATAGTTTATTAGAGGGGATCTACTTCTGTGTGCAGTTTGTGTTTTTAGCAGCACAGGGCTAACAAAGGCATCAGAACTCTTTAGCATCTGACCTACACTTCAACAGCAAGCCTTTTTAATACCATCTGTAAAAACTAGGAACATGTGGGGTCAGAATCTAAGGAGTCGTCTAGGAGTGACTTGTCCAGTTTGAGGGGGTGGAGGGACTTCTGGATACTTCTTTAGATCTGGAGTTTTAGTTCATCGTATTGGGTGACCATGGTGGTATGCCTTTCTAGAAGGTAAACGCAATTTTAGGCTTCTTGATGCACGGGCAAGTTTTATATCCTGGGAAGAAATACTGTGGTGGAGAAAGGATGGAATCTTTAAATGGAATCAAGGGACCTGATATAATTCTGACACTGACACTCCTCGTTATTTAGTCTTGAGAAAATTTCATGACCTTTTTGCACCTAAGTTAATAAATATGCAAATTAACTGAACTTGACTGAGCAATTTCTAAGGTTTCTCCAGCACTCCAAAGATTCCAAAAGTACATACTGCTGTCTCCAGCATGATCAGGCAATATCCAGACTGGGATTTAGGTCTTTATTTAAAGGCTCCCTGCACCAGAGTGGCTAAGAGGTTAGCCTTGGTGTTTGGCATCCGTGACTTTGAATGCTGGCTGTATAAGTGATAGGCTATTAAGGAAGTCATTGAACCTTCCAAGTTTTGGCTTCCTTACTGATAAAATGGAGAGGAGAATTATTCCTACCTTACAGAATTGTACTGAACCTTAATAATATAATTACAGAACTTTGCTCAGGGATCAGCACCTAGAAAACAATGGTATATCCCTCTCTTTGTTCATTGTAAGCTCCTTGAGAGCAGCCATCTACCTTACTTATCTTAGCCCAGCTCATTCATCTTATTTCAGTTGCTTAGTTCTGTGTTTTATATGTAGTGGTGTTCAATAAATGTACTGTTAAAGTACAGTTTAAAAAAAGATTTTAAATAGGACTCATACGAATATAGAATAAACGCATGTCAAATTTATTTAGCTCTTTAATGAAGGAGCCAGCAAGATGATAAAGTCGATTTATTGGAGAAATAGAGGAAAAGGATGATGTAGTTCATACCAAAATAATTTTTCTATATTTGAGACATAATTGGTTTATCGCCTTATGGGAGAATAAAACTAAACCTTTAACATAATCTTCTATTGTCGACATTTGTATCTCCACAGGACAGAAATCTTCCTGTTAACCTGCAGTCATAAAGTTCTTAGGCCTGTGAAACACTACTTTAGTCTGACATTGTGAGGATATGCAAGTTTCTTTTTGCTATTTCCAAGTTTGGTGTAATTATTCTAAATAGTTACAAGACCAAACCTAAAGTATTATTTATCTTAGAAAAAGATTAGGTGGGAATATGATTCTAGTATATAAGTATCTGTTTTCTGCCTAAACTTATAATAAGTACTAGGACCATCCATAATTATGTTTTCTTAATGTTTCATTAAGAAGAGTATAGGGATATTTAGGAAAATGCTACTAATTTCTACGATGATGCTTTGGAGGGGAACCATTTAATGAGTGCTTACAGGGACTATGTCAAGGACTTTATATACATTTTAATTTAATCTGTAAACAATCTTGTGAGGTAGGCATTATCTCCATTTTGAAAATCAGGTAAATAAATCTCAGTGAGGTTAAATAAGATTATGTAGCCAATATGAGCCAGAATTGAAATTCAGTCTGATTCTGAGTCTTATATTGTCTCTAGTGCCTATGTTATAAACCTCCCTAAAAATTTTAAACTGTTCTAAATTTTAAGGTAGATCTCAAGTTAAACATACAGATGAGTGGGTCTAGTTTTGCTTACATGACAGCATATACAAAACAGTCCTTCTCCCTGGAAGAGACTTGCCATTTTGAAACCACTTCAGATAAGTGGTCTGTTTCTTGGCCACTAGATTAAAACATATATGTTTTAAAGAAAAATCAAACCATTTCATTTGCTTTTTAAAGCTTTCTTCTCTCAGGTTGTCTTTGTCACTTACCTATCTTTCTTATATCTCTTCTGGCCCCCGAAATGTCTGTAGGTGGGCTGGATCCTTTCTATTCTGGATGAACTGCAGCTGAGCCCTCAGCCTCCCGTCGGGGTCCTTCCTCTGGGGACTGGGAACGACCTGGCTCGAACTCTCAACTGGGGAGGGGTAAGAACTGCTCTCAGGGGCTGCCCGGGCCGTCAGGCAGAAGGAGCCTCGAACCCACAGATGTTTTAATGGAAGGGCAATATGCTACTGTTGTCCAAAGAATAAGTTAGAATTGAGGATCAGGGTGCCCATGCATCATGATTTCATCTGGGACCTTTTTCAGTTTAAACTTAGAATCCTCTAGAGAAGAAAGTGTGGTATAAAAATGGGGGTTAGTATATAGGCCTGGGGCTTCTTGAGGTATCCATTGAGAGGCAGTTGGGTGGGTTGGTCTCAGGTCTTCATGTAAAGACCTGAATTGATTTTGACCCTTAGCCCCTGGCCAGAATAGCAAATCTGGTTCAGATTATAATCCTTACTTCGGGAGAGTTATGGCTTTTCTGGAGCATTTTGTTTTTCTGGTTGGTGTCATCATGGCTGTGTTATTCAGGTAGCCAGCTGTCCTTTCCACCGGAGAGCCAACTTTAGGCAGGCTTAGCGGAAGAAGTTTACCTGTCACTAGCCAGCCGTTTTATTAATTTTTTTTTTACAGTGTTAAGATAGTAAGAAGGCACAATTTGCTAACATATGCAGCCCCACCAGCTTTTTATTTATTCATAGGAGAGATTGGGCTGGGCTCCATGAAAATTATCTTCAGCTATTAGCAGATATTAATTTGACCTTTGTGTGAATTAACCTCCCTTGGGTGATAATTATCTTCGGATATTAGCAGATATTCATTTGGTATTGGGTGAATTAACCTCCTACAGGTCTTTTTTATTTTTTCAAGTGGGCATAGTGGAAATGATAATACATTAGTTGCTTCATGTAAATATGTTTATCACTGTTGACTCCTCTCATCCACATCAGTGACTTGACTATCCTTAATAATCATGCTGCCAATAACACATGCTCGAGGAGTAAGTGGTTGCCTAGTAGGGCAGCGCCTCAGACAGACTTGCCTTAGTAGTGTCCCTCTACAAGGTTAGGAGAGGTGAATGAGGTGGAAGGTTAATAGAAAAAGTTGTCTATCCTCTGCCACCGTGATTCTCTTCCTCCTCTTCCATATACACTTGTTCTGTGTATCTCTCAGATTCCTCTAGTAGGAGGCCTGGGGAGTCCTGTTTTCATTTTGACAGAAGCAACCCTCCAGCATGGCCCTCAAATGCCTACCAGTGACTGTTGGTTCTTGGTGCTGGCGAAAATGACTCCTCACCTCAAACCAGTTAGAGCAGTATTTCTATGCACAATACCTGGGACTGTTGTCTTAGATTCCAAGTACTGCAAGGAAACCGGTCTACTTGCCCAGCCTTGCTAATTGCAAAATGAATAGAGAGCTATAGCAAAAGGGCTCTTGCTTACATGAAATGCCTTTGGTTAATCTGTTCACTGCTCCAGGCAGCAATGCATATATTCTTTGATTCCTTAGGGCTACACTGATGAACCTGTCTCTAAGATCCTTTGCCAAGTAGAAGATGGGACAATTGTACAGCTAGATCGCTGGAACCTCCATGTGGAAAGAAACCCAGACTTGCCTCCAGAAGAACTTGAAGATGGCGTCTGTAAGGTGAGAGAGTTCTTTCTTCCGCAGAAGGGAAGCCTGGAGCATGTACCTGAGCCACAGGAAATACAATCCTGGCTGGAGAATCATGCTGATTGCTTCCTATGAGATCATAGGATGATGTTTGAGTTCATGGCTACTAGGCCTACGAGCGTAACACTACTCCGTGATTCTGCCCCACAGACTTCCTACCTGCTTCCAGAGCTCAGGGAGCTGTTCTCCATCCTCAACTTCCACACCAGAAAGAATGTATTCATTTTCTAATCTTTCAAGCATTGCAAACTCATAACCCATGAGAAGGTGAAAACTACAGATGTTCTGAAGCATTAGGCATATGGTCTTTCGATAGAAAGATAACCTCCTGAGATTTGTAGTCTCCTACTAAATATCTCTTATGTGTAGGAAGTGTTAACTAAGTCAGTTTCATCACTGGGTTGGGACTTGAAGATGTCTAAATAAATATTTTGATTTAGTATTTTTCCTTCAGTGATTGAGCTTTCATTTCCACCCAAGACAAATCAAGAGACATGCATACCTTAGTGCAGAGCCTCAGCAGAATATTTGGTTCTAAGTTCTGGTCTCAATTTCAGATAAATCTGACAGGTTGCCAAGTAGCCATTTCCTGCATATTACTTTCCACTTTTCTTCTGTGATAGTGTTTTCAAAGTTTTGCATGCATAAGAGCATTCACATGCAGATTATGGGGCCCAGTCCCCATTGATTCTGATCACGTAAATGCAGGGTTAAGGCCCTGGATCCATACTTTAAATGGCATCCCCGGGTGCCTGGGTGGCTCAGTCGTTGAGCGTCTGCTTTCAGCTCGGGTCATGATCCCAGAGTCCTGGGATCGAGCCCCACATCGGGCTCCCTGCTCCGCGGGAAGCCTGCTTCTCCCTCTCCCTCTGCCCCTGCTTGTGTTCCCTTTCTCGCTCTCTCTCTCTCTCTCTGTGTCAAATAAATAAATAAAATCTTTAAAAAAATAATAAATAGCATCCCTGCTTTATTGGATTATGCCATTGATTGAGCCAACATTGTCATGGGCATTTTCACTTTAAAATAAATAGAACCAGATATCCTATTAAACCAAACCAAAACCAGTTATTCATTAGCACCATGATCCTGACCAATTATGATAAACACTCAAGTTTATTATTTGGCTAAAATAGGTTAAAACATGTTTTATCTTGTTTTCACATTTTTTCCCCTAAACAATAATCCAGAAATCACAAGGTTTCTGTTAGCTATCATGACTGCTCAGTAGATTTGCGTTTATAATGTCATAGTGTTGTTTGAAACCACAGGTATCACCGTGGGATATACTTCTTTCTGATGTGTTCGACCTACAGAAACTGGGTAGGATATAGTCAAAGTGAAAAGAATTATACCGTATGGAAATTTTAAGGTCCTTTCCACACCAAACTTAGAATGCTTAGGCCCTCAGTAGAAATCGCTATTTAAATCTCTTCCCAACAGCTTAAGAAATGGAAAGACTCCTTGGTACAGCCAGGGAACATTAATCCAGATAATTAAAGGGCTTTGAAAAATGGGCTTTTGAGGAGATATATAGGAAATTGGGCAATTTTTCCTGGAAAATATGAATAAGAACTTAGTAACAGACTAAATTGTGATATTATTTAGGGGATGGTGACCAGATGTTCTCCTAAAGCTATCGGTGAATGCTAAGACATGGGTTAGATTTGTAGCCAAGAAAACATCAATGGTAGGGATGAACATATCTGTGCTTTTGGCAAGATCACCAACCCTTGCTGTCATTACTAAGGCTTGGTATTTTGTTAAAGTGCAAGACCTGAACATTCTCAAATATGAAGCCAGGAGAATGAGACATGATTTTGGCATTGTTCTGTGTTTAGTTTCTCGCCTGTTCTCCAGTCAGTTGTAAACATTTCTAAGGGGGGCTGATTTGACCTCTGAATTTATGATAAGCTCTGACTCAGGGCCTCCATGGAGGGTTCATTCTTTATTTCCATTGAAAACCAAGGCCATCCGTTTTCTTTTCTTCTGTATTAACATCTCTCTGTTACTCTCCCTCTCATTTCATTTATCTCTTAATGGGATGAGGTCCTCACTCTAGTCAAACAAAATCTTACTAGTCAAGGTGCATATGAAACCCTGTAATAAACCTACTTTTGAGATCTTGAGGGTTAAACACTTCTAACAGAAGAGAAGTAGATTTCTATCTGGAGGCTAAGCCTGATAATTATCTGGAAACATTATCCAAGCTGAGATGAAATTGCTTCTCTATTTAGTTTAACATTTACCTTCCACTCTGAGTTGCAGAAGGGAAAATGGAAGAGCCACAATTTCCTTTCTAGCATTTTCCATGTGCTTTTCTCATTGTTCTAACATTGAAGCCTTAAAAGCACATGAATTTTGCAGTTCTGATGAAGGATTTTAGGTTGCATAGTCCTCTCCTTTACTAAGCTTGCGGTGGTAACAGCCAGGGACCCAGAGGACTCTAGGAAGGCTTGTGTGTGTACCCACATCTGTGTCTACATATTTCACAGTCATATTAAAGATACAAGGTCTCATAGACTAAATCAAAATTTGAGTAATACTGACAAATATGTATACACACATATATTTTTTTTTTCCCTGTAGATCAGGGGTAGCTGAATATTTCCCTCTGCCCTATTGCTTATGACTTATGTCAAAAATATATTTTAAAAAATGGAAGGGTAAACATATTAAATATTACTCATTTGGAATTGCAATATTAATATGCTGCACACAAATTCTCAAAAGGTATATTCACTGATTAGCTTACACATGATCTTTCCATTCGAATTGACTTTCTAAGTTTGCTTAGTGAGTCATTCTTTGTAACTTTTGGGCATGTGTTTCCCTCAGCTTAATTGGGCTCTCTTTTTAATATCCACAAGAATACTTCCCATTTAATAATTTGTATTTGCATCACTTGTTTCCTATACTACTTAAAATTCTTGGGAGTGTTATTTGATTTGAACTTTAACTAATGAATTCAAAAATCCCCTGTTCCTTCTCTGCAAACACCTTCTGCCTTGGGTTGTGACTAATCTCTTTCCCAGGGACTGCCCGAGAGAAGGTTTCTGGTGTTAGGCTTCATTTTACTCTTTCTGCCTGGTTCCGCACCACTTCACCTCTACTTTGTTCCTCATTGCAGCTTCCTCTGAATGTTTTCAATAATTACTTCAGCCTTGGATTTGATGCCCACGTCACACTGGAGTTCCATGAATCCAGAGGTGAGGACAACGTCCCATTCCCATCTCCCAGGGAGGAAGTTTCCAGCAGGTGTTTTGCATGTTCCCTTCTGTTTGCATATCACTTAAGTATTGACAGTGTGCATCAGTGTTGTTCATTTTAACTTTCGTGATGACCCTGGGAGCTAGACAAGATAGGAATTTGTTACAGATAGGACCCTGAGACCTAGTTGTTTAGGGTCTCAGAGATGTAAAGGATGACATCAGATGGATGTTCCAGGTCTCAGACTGCTAATTTTTAAGTTTGACTAGAAACTTTGAGGTTAGTGAACTACTAGGAAGTGATAAAGTTTCTTTCATTTGAGTCATTAAGATATTCACAGCTTCTTGAACCACCGATTGTTGAAGTCCAACACTTTATAAACCAGGGCCATTGAAATCTGGCAGCAAAAACATACAAGTCCTCCCTGGGTGCAGAAAAGAGACAGCAGTCATCTTAGAACAGTAGGGGAGCTGATCCGTGGTTTAGGTGGAAAGAAAGGGTGGTGATTGGATTGGGGGTGGAGGTGCTGGGAATGCCCATCGGACAAGCTAGAGGGGTGAATGAGAGCCAGTGGTCATGTCAAGGGCCAAAAGAGATGGTGGCAAGACTGGGGAACAAAACCATTTTTGAAAGAGAAATAAGATGAAATAATGGCACGCAGTTATATACTTCATCACATTTCTTACGACATTCAGAGCTGAGAAAGTTTAGGATCTGGGCTTATGTTTTGAATCCCCAATCTTCTGTGCTCAAGCTCACTCACCTGGTGTGTCTTCATCTCTCAAAATCTCTTATTAATGTAACTATATACATCTGTGTCTTTGCTTGTATCTACTTCTGTACCTAGTCTCTTGTGAATGTTAATATATAACCAAAATCATGCCAGGCAGTAGGTTAGTGAGTGTGTTGTGAGATAAAAGTCCATACATGAGAGGATTATTTTACTTCTTTTCCTCCAGATTCTTCAAGAGCATCAGTGGTTTTAACTCCTGGAATTTGAAGTACAGAGACCTAAAAGTTAGAATTCAAATGTCCAGATTCTAGTAATAACACAGAGGAAATTCTGATAACACTTCTATGCACTAAAGGTCAAGAGTGGAGTAGTAGGATTAAGGGTGTTAGAATACAAAATATAAGTGAAGTCCAAACCTGTAATTCTCTTACTGAGATCAGCAATTTTGGTAGGCTTTGCCTTCCTGCTTTCATAAGGCTTTGAGGGTCAAATGCTGTGTCAAATAAAAGCAGTACTCAGCATAATACCCTCCATCCTCCATCCATGTCGATGTAAATGGTATGTTGGCTAATTGAATTTAAATTAAATAATAAAATAAAATAAAATAAAAAAGCGATGCAGATCGAAGAGAAAGCCATAGTTTGACTTTTCCCTCTGAAAGGTTGGTTGATAACAGAACCACAAATATCAAATACCCAGATCAGAAACACCACCACCCTCCCATTTCCCTGCCATGGACAGCTCTTGGAGGTAGATATTCAGAGAGTCCTACTTTAGAGCCCACATTTATAGTCTGTTGGTCTCCCTATATTTTAGGAGACTTGATTTGGGGAAGTAAATGGAGATTACTTTCCTCATTTCTTAACCCATTTTTTTTCCCTCATATTCTTCAGGAGACTCTGGCTCTGGGCTTCCTAATAAAATCCTTCAGTTTCTTAACAATACTTATAATCATCACCAATGCATGCATCTTCCAAAATAGACATCCTGGCATGAAAAGGGCCTAAATGAGTAAGTGGCAGACAGTGAGCTCATTTAAGGGAGCCTAATATTTTGTCTAATTAATCTGACAATCTCCTAATGATACATTTCCTTGTACTATGATGAAACTTTCGTGTCTCAGAGTGAAGGGAACAGAGAGAGACATCAAGGAGGAAAGACCAGGCTTAGAAGAGAATTCTTGAAGGAAAGTGATTTTTTTTTTTAAAGTTGTGGGACTATTTCATTTGAAAAGGAATATGCAAACTGTGGTATATATATATATATATATACACACACACATATACACACACATAGTGTAATATATGTGTGATTATAAAAAAACTGGTTAAAAGATGCAAAGCATTAGTGTTGTATAGATTATTTCTGAGGCTTAGTGTAAGTGCTTTCAAGCAGCATGAAATGGAATTGCAAACATTTGACCTGCAGGTAAGCTAGAGCCCTTGAGGAAAACCAGCCACTGAAGAGCTGATAAGAGAAAACTGATGTTGACTGAGACTAATAGCTGCAATATTCATGAAGATGGTATAGAGATAAATATCTACAAAATGTTGGAAACAGATTTGGTTGATATGCCTATATCAGAGGTGTGGACTTCTTAGTACCTGTTAATCTATTTACTTTGCATTAATTTATGATGAAAAGCATAATTACACAAGCTAATTTTCTTTTTTTGCTTTTGCTATTTTCTGTTTATTTGGATTTTCCCCATATTTTTACCTGGATAATCAAGAAATCTCAAGCTCACCTGCAAAAGGAAAAGCAAGATAGTATGGCTACATTTTCAACAGGGGCAGACTTATTTCTTTTGGTATTAAGTGGCTATTCTCAAGCCAAGAACACTTCAAACTGTTCTCAAATGCAGACACTCACAGTTTGAGACATCATGACAAAACTTGTGTCATTTGCCATGAAATACTTGGAGGATGACCTCATGAGAGCCATTTTAAAAAAAGCCTCATGAGAGCCATTATAAAAAAATGAGCTTGTATAGAATAACCTATTAGGTATTAATAAAAGATGTGTGTGTGTGTGTGTGTGTGTGTGTGTACGTACTTGGGAATTATTCTAATCTATCTATATGAAGTGGGTAATAAATACAAATCTCACTAAGGCAGAATCTTTAAAAATGTAATTGCAGAAGCAATTTTTGGCATAAATGTGAAATAGCCCATCAAATAGAGGGGACAATTAAAAACATTTGAGATAGTTTATTGGTGGTATTACTGTTTAAATGCTTTTAGAATTACCAGTAGAAAATCAAGCGAGGAGTAAAGATAGTCTTAACATTTTGATTGACTTTGTATAAAAAGAATGCAAACATTTGAATAATTTGGGTTTCTATATTTGATCAGAAAGTAGGTTTAGTTCATTTGATTAGAAAATAGAGATGCTTTCTTCTTATTAAAGTGGCTAAACCATGCATGGTTGAACTGTTCCTTGCATATCAGAAAGTGCAGTCTTTTGGAACAGGATTTGGAGATGTAACAGAATTGGCGATTTAATTTTTAGCTGGAGTCTTGCCCAGAACTTTAATAATTATTGCATTATGACAGTGCTTGAGCAAGTAGATTGAAAATATTCCCATCTATTAATGTATAGCCATGTTAACAATGATTATGGTTATCAGGCGGCAAAGTTAGGTCTCACTTTGCCAGCTATATGAATTAGATTCTCATTTTTTTGGACATGAAGGATATTAAGCACCTCAAACATTTAGCCTGAGGTTGGATGCTTAAATTTTACTGCCTCACTGAAATTACTTACTCAGAGGAGTTGAACCTTATGCTACAAGGTCAGGGAAATACAATTATGATTCTAGAGGAGGCAGTATTTAAATTTGACTTAAAATTTACTATTTTCACTGAATATACAGAGACATGCAGATCAGCATGTTTTCAAGGATTGTGAATGTTTCATGATTCATATGGAGAATGAACAGATTTCTTTAAAAAGATGTTTCAATGGCTTGCTAAATTTCATCATCACCATCACTGCAAAGCACACACTCTCAGTCTTAGATCTAGGTACTGAGACTCAAACATTTGAGAAACTCTCACTGTCCAAGGTTCTCTGTCTATAACCTTTTTTTCCATTTTGAACCTCTGCATGGCACCTACCCTTCATTCAAGATTCAAGTGTTGAATCTTGCCTCTGGAACACTTTTGATCATTCCCTTTATGTGTGACTCTCACTTCATCTGATATAGGCATATACAAAAGGATGTTATACTTTCATTTTCAAATTTATCTCCTCCACTCTAAACTCATGCAGGCAAAAGACCATATCTTCTTATATTCCCTTTGCCGAGTCCATGGCTATCTCAATAAGTGTTAGTTACAGTAATGGAGACTGTAATCAGAGGATAGGCCCCATATATAATGTAAAAGGTAACAGTAGAAAGGAATATATAGTAGGGATAAGATTAATTGTATAGGCAGTAAATAATACAGGAATTTGGCAGGGAAAATCTATCAGGGGAAATTTTCCAGAAAGGGTAAGAGGGAGCTGAGAGATAAAGGAGGAGTGTGAAATATGTAGAAAAGACGTAAAGTGGGTGAGGGCATTTCAGACAGCAAAGTATAGAGGGACAAATGAGCTTGTGATAAAGATGGGATGACCAATTAATACATAATGAAAGAGTTTCGGTGTTAGAAAAATGGATAATGTTGGTAAAACTACTTGTCCTTATGGGAGATGATGTTGGAAGACAAGATTTTTTTGGATATATACAATTTGAATTGAAGGTGGCATTGTTAGTGTAGGCATAGATTTTGGGATTGTTTATGTATATATAACTGAAGTCTTAAGATTAGGTACATACCTAATGCAGAGGAATGTAGTGTGAGTTTTGTGCAGTTCAAATTGCTTATTGATTTTTATAAACATAGACTTGAACTTGTATTTATGAATATCTCCTCTAATATGCCAGACCAATTACAGACAAAAGTAGAGTTTAGGATCCTATTCTGATGGCACAGATGTTATTGTGTTGTACATAAAAATAGGATTAATATATTAAATCAATGGAATGGAAGTTATCCAAAACCTTATTATCGCCATAACTGGATTATATCTAGAGCCAAATCACTTAGGTGATTTAGATGATGAGATTTGGGAAGTTTGAGTTAATAAGATTTAGGTGAGATTTTTGGGTTTTGAGTTGATGTCCTAATGGGGATGAGAACTTTGGGGACCTTGGAAGGAATGAATGTTTTTCATATGGGAAAGATGTGAATCATAGGGGTCAGATGGTGGGCAGTGGTAGGTAGAATTTTGGCCTTTATGACCTTTGCTATTGGTATCATTCTTGTTGGTTAGGTTATTTTACATGGCAAAAAGACTTTTTTAGTGTTATTGAGGTCAATAATTAGCTGGCCTTATACAGGAAGATAATTCTGGGTTATCTGAGTGGGCCCAATGTGATACCATGAGCCCTTCAAAGCGTAAGTGGAAAGTTAAATAGGAAGTCAAAGAGATGTGGCAGAAGGGGAGTCGGATAGATTTGAAGTGTGAAAAGCACTTGATGTGCCCCTGCTGGCTTTGACAGTGGAGGGGATCCCAAGCCAAGGACTCCAGGAGGGCTCTAGAAGTTGAGAATGAACCCTCGCCAACAGCCAGCAAGGAAAAAGAACTTCACTTCTCCAATTGCAAGGAAATAGGTTTTGCCAACTATCTGAATAAACTTTGAAGTGAATCCTTTTTTTTAAAAGATTTTATTTATTTATTTATTTATTTATTTATTTATTTATTTATTTATTTATTTAGAGAGCATGTGCGAGTGGAGGGGGCAGAGGAAGAGGGGGAGAGAGAGAATCTCAAGCAGACCCCATTGAGTGTGGAGCCCGATACAGGGCTTGATCTCACGACCCTGAAATCACGCCCTGAGAGGAAATCAAGAGTTGGAAGCTTAACCAACTGAGCCACCCAGGCACCTGTGAAAGTGAATCCTTTTTAGAGCCCCCAGAGAAGACCTGCAGGCTGACACCTTGATTTTGGCCTTGGAAGACCCTAAGTAGAGGACTCAGGAGAGCCCAGTCCAGATTTTGGCCTAGGGAATAAGAAAACAAATGGATGTTTTAAGCTGCCACGTTTTCAGGAATAGAAAACAAATACAATTAATGTTGGTGTCCAATCAGATTATAAATAGGCTAATGGCCTAGACATACACAGTGAGCATTTAGATCTCGCTTGGTTATACCCTGTCTTTGTGGAAGAGGAAGATGGGCAATGGAGGAACTGTAGCAGTAAGTCATGGATGCTTCCACTATTGGGATCTTGGGATAATTTGAGTATTATTGGCATTTCTTGAGAATGGCCTTTCATAGTTGATCTCATACCAATTAACAGATAAAACTTCCTTAAGGAACAAGAATGCTTAAACTTTCTTACTGTCCTTTCCCAATTCTGTGAGCCCCCTTTTCTGGATATAGTTGGGGACCACGTTCCTTGGACCTTCTCAAAGACCTGTCAGTTCTTATACATACACATAGACATATTCAGCCACTCAACACGTTAAAAGCCAATAAGGAATGATTAAGTACTGTTATTTGCAGACTGTCCCTTGCTTTCTTAAGGACTGGCGTCTGCAGGGAGTAGGGAAGCTCTAACACTACCCAACATCTCTCTCAGCTCCAGCCAACCTTTGTTTCTGAGGCTTTTTGGAGTAGGGTAGATATTAAAATGGAAAAAGTGTTTAATCATCAAGACAGGCTCAATCAGGGAGTCAGGAGTATAATACCATTATACTGTCAGCAGAGATAACAGAATTTACCTCCATCTTTTCTATTTTCAGGGCTAAGGAATATGTGTGACTCTTTTCCTACCTCATTATCTTTCTGACACCTCTCTAAATGCTAGTGTCTTAACTTGTTTAGTTTTACATATTAATTGAATTTTATCTAGTTAAATTACATCTGAAGTGACTGTTTTCATCAGCTGTGTCAGTGAAATCACCAAAAACTCAGTTTATTTATTAATTTTATTCTACTCTTTTGGTTCTTACAAAACATTTTCGATCTCTTGAGAGAAAACTATTTCTTTAAAGGGAAAAAAAAACACAAAAAAACAAAGCTTAGGTTCATAGGAAAACGCCTTAAGAATGTGAACCTTTTCCAAACCATAAAGTACTGTTCTAAAAAGTACATGTTAATAGTTGATGCATGATTCACTTGATAGCTGCAGATGTTAGTGCCCTGAAAAAGTTCTATGCCAGAACTGTGGGTGCCATTTTCCATTTTCTTATTATAACTTGCTTGATAGCCAGCTCTGACCTTCTTTCTTTCATTCTTTTTAAAATTAGGGATTATGTACCCATGATAAATTGCATGGCAACAGAAATTCTAATTTTGCCTCTGGTTCCATAAAGCAAGAGTTAATGCAACGGAAAATGGTACCCAGCCAAATTTGAGTTAAGAAAGGTTAAAAAACAAACAAACAAACAAACAAACAATGTTACTTAGCAGCCAAATTTATCCTAAAGGCCCATACTGTAAAAATGGTGAATTCTGGGTCCACAAATGGGGACCAGGGAGACAGAGCACTAAGTACCACTTTTCTCACTTTTTTTTGTTTAGTCTAACCTGTAAATTAACCTTTAACTTTTGTTTGATTTTGTTTCTAGGGTTCAGAGTACTTAATTCAATAGAATAGAGGGAATGTTTAAGGAGAGGTATGAGATACAGAAACTTAAATATGTAAAAACTCTCAAGAGTCAAATTACAACATACGACTTTTTTAAGTTTGCAAGCTTTCACTCAGTTTCCATGTTATGTGCTAATATTATATTCTAATAATCATGAAAATAATCTAACGATCCTAGGTCTAGGATTATTCCTTGAGATTGTGCAGCTCTTACTCTATGGCATCTTAGTGAGGGAGCTCTTTGCTACTTTTCTTCATCTAGACAATTGTTGAGATTTGCCGTTCAAACACAGGGCCAGGACTTGAACAGTTTCAGCTAGTCAGCCAGCTGTCTGTTGAGAAACAATTTGAAGAGAGACCTTGCCCTAAGAAGGGATTAATGAGAATATGGGATAAAATAGCAGAAGGCAAAACATTGACCGTGGGTCCCATTGGAATGTCTTGGAATTCTATTAGGAAGAATGTAAGGAAGTAATTTTTCACTTAGGGATTTTATAATCCCTTATATTTGTGTGAACATTCTCCGATGCAGATTCTTGTTTAACCTTTTTTGTGGTCTTCAACCTATGTAACAAACAGGACCATACTCAAAATTAAACCATTTTTCACCCACAGCCTTTGCTGTCATATGCCCTGAATCCATTTAGCAGTTCACCTGCATATATGTATATTTATGTATCTCCAGTAAATCAATTTTTCAAGGCCTGTTACAAACAAAAGCACAGATAGTAGTTAGGAGGTTTGGTAAAATGTGAAAGCAAATTCTCTATTAATTTTGATCCAAATTTCCAGTATTTAATTACATTTGGAAGCTGCATACATAGTTTATAGAAGACGTGCCCGATGGAGGTCAAAGCAGATAATCACCCCTCATCACCCTCCTTTGTCCTGTCACCCTTGCCTTGGATCCCTGCCAGCCCTCTATTCTGAATAGAGTCCAGAGTGTCTCAACTTTTAATGTTAATCACCTGGAGAGTTTGTTAAATCATGATTCCTAGACACCACCCCCTAAACATTATAATTCAGCAGGTCTGGAATAGAGCTAATAATTTGCATTTCTAACAAACTTCCAGTTGATGCTGATGCTGCCATTTTGGGGCTACACTTTTGTAGCACTGGACAACTATACCAACTGGCCTGTAACTAAGGGAAAGATGATAATAAGGCTGTTGACTCTATTGGATCTGTGGGGTGGGGAGGGAGGGGGAAGAAGAAGAGTGTTAATGGAAGTCACTACCTTTAATGAGGTCTCCATAACAAAACTACCTGTTTCCTTTCACAGAAGCAAATCCAGAGAAATTCAACAGTCGTTTTCGAAATAAAATGTTCTATGCAGGAGTAAGTATATATTCTATTTTATAATTATGTATTATTTAATACTAATTAAATACTAATTACTCATTGGTAATAAGGATACTAACTATATGAAAAATCATTATCCATCTCAGATGTTTCTAAATATTTCTATGTATGATTACAGTTTAATGCCTTGGTTTACAATTAAGATGTATTTAAGTTGGTAGAAAGGGAGCTGGTGTTCATCATCTTTGAACTTCAAAGCTTGAAGGCTTCCTATCGTATGGAGGGGATGATATTCAAGGAGCGATAAGAGAAACATCAAAGGCAGTCTAGAGAATGGGGGAGTTAGGCAGACCGAAAGATGTATGGAAAGTCTTGGGTAAGAATGTGGTTTGTACAGGAGTACATACGCATCAGTGTTTGGAGGAGAAATTGGCAGAGGCTGGGCAGTTTCTCGTGGAAGCATATATGTGAATAAAGGAGGTCTTTTTTCCTTCTCCTCAGGGACATCCCTGGGGATGAATGGCCAGAAAGGGGGGGAGGTGTGTGGAAAGGCCTCCAAATTACTGATTTAAAAAAAATGTAGTTTAAATTTAGACCACCGGATAGAGAGAATTGAAATAAAAGGGGAGAGGGTGAAGCAAGACATTCTTAGTGGCAAGTTAAAGATGATATCAGCACCCAGTGGTCAAGTAGGAGGTCAGGAAAGGTCATCAGAATAAATCTTCCAACTGACCCTTGGAATTACCTACTTTTTAACTTTTCTACTGTGTTCTTAAATTTTATTATAGGTTATAGTTTGAAAACAAAGAGAGTTTTCAGCTTGACAGCCACTGCATTTGGCTTTGCATTTAGCAAGAAAAGAACTTCTTTATATTTTGAATAATTTAGAAGCATTAGGAACTATTTATAATATGGAAGCAAGGATTTGGCATAACCATGTGATTAAGTTTGGTTTTTCTCCTTTATTTCTTTGTGGTATAGGCGGCTTTTTCTGATTTCCTACAGAGAAGTTCTAGAGATCTATCCAAACATGTTAAAGTTGTTGTAAGTATTGAACATGTTGACTCAGTTCATTTGAATATAAATATATATGCTGCAAAAACATACCCCAAATACCAGTTTATGTACTTAGATTAATCAGTGGGTTACATTAATTCCAGAAATCATTTAATGTAGTTCATTCAGCCAACATTTCTGAGAATATAGCCCTGTGTTGGCAACTGTCTTAGTTGCTGGGGATGGACGGACAGCTAGTTTCACTCCTGAAGAAACTCACAGTTGAATCGCAGAGATGGGCACGTAAGTCATTGCATAACACTGTAGTTAATATTGTTGACTATGTACACAGTATGGTGGTGGCGCAAAGAGGGAAATGGAAACTGACTGTGGTGGGTTTAGGGAAACTTTCATCAAAGAAGTGATGTTGAGCTGGGTCTTGATGTAGAAATAGGTGCTCACCCAACAAATATCTTTATTTCAAGGCTACTTGAGGACTCTCCATTTTAGAAAAATGCATTCATTTTATTTTTTTGTGATGATTCACTCTGTAGGCTAGCCAGGTTTCTTCACCACTGAATGGTTTGTTTGTTTTTGGTGCTATTTCTTCCTGGGTTTCTATCCCAGGTTTTTAGACACACACTGAGAGAGGGAATATTACCTTTTCTCTAGGAGCTGTACTTTAAAATAGCGTATCTTTAGGGGCACCTGGGTGGCTTAGTTGGTTAAGCACCTGACTTTTAGTTTCTGCTCAGGTCATGATCTCAGGGTCATGAGATTGAGCTCCAAGTCAGGCTCTGAGCCCAGGGCAGAATCTGCTTGGGATTCTCTCCCTTTCCCCTTTCCCTCCCCCTCCGCCCCTCTGTGTGCATGCCTGCTCTCTCTCTCTCTCTCTCTCTCTCGCTCATAAATAAATAAATAATAAAATATTTTAAAAAATAAAATAGCGTATCATTAGTTATTAAGAAAGACCTAAAATGCTTCCTTATAGCAACCAAGTTAAAAGGAGCAAACATGACTATTGTACATAATAATCTAAGGAGAAAGAAAAAGAAAAAATAAATATATGATGTAGAAGGAATGTGATATAGAAATGCTTGAATTTATCATAGCATAGATAAAGAATAGAATATGTGATGAGAGGGGACAGAACAACAGAAATACATGAGAAGACAGAAATACAGAAAAATATACATGGGTGTATAGAGGAGCAGGAGAGGGATACAAATTAAAATTTGTAATCACCATGCAGCAAAAGCAGTTCTAAGAGGGAAGTTTATAGCAATTGAGGCCAGGCCTATCTCAAAAAAAACCAAGAAAAATCTCAAGCAACCTAACCTTACACCTAAAGGAGCTATAAAAAGAACAACAAAGCCCAAAGCCAGTAGAAGGAAGGAAAGAGTAAAGATTAGAGCAGAAATAAATGAAATAGAGACTAAAAAAGCAATAGAAAAGATCAATAAAACCAGAAGCTGGTTCTTTGAAAAGATAAACAAAATTGGTAAACCCTTAGCCAGACTCATCAAGACAAAAAGAGAGAAGACTCCAATAAATAGTCAGAAATGAAGGCGGAGGAATAATAACCAACACCACAGAAATACAAAGGATTTTAAGAGAATATTATGAAAAATTATATGCCAACAAATTGGACAACCTAGAAGAAATGGATACTTTCCTAGAAACATATAAGCTTCTAAAACTGAATTAGGAAGAGAGAGAAAATTTGAACAGACCAATTATTGGCAATGAAATTAAATCAGTAATCTAACTCCTGCCAAACATAAGTCCAGGACCAGATGGCTTCAGGGTGTGAATTCTACCAAACTTTTAAAGAAGAGTTAATACTATTCTCAAACTATTCCAAAAAATAGTTGAGGAAGGAAAGCTTCTAAATTCATTCTATGAGACCAGCATTACTCTGATACCAAAACCAGACAAAGACACCACAAAAAAAGAAAACTACAGGCTCCTATCTCTGATGAACATAGATGCAAAAACCTTCAACAAAATATTAGCAAACTGAACTCAATAATACATTAAAAAAAATATTCACCACAGTCATGTGGGATTTATTCCAGGGATGCTAGAGTGGTTCAGTATTCACAAATCAATCAACATGATACATCACATTAACAAGAGAAAGGAAAAAAATCACATTATCATCTCACAGATGCAGGAAAAGCATTTGATAAAGTACGACAGTCATTTATGATAAAAAGTCTCAACAAGTAGGCTTAGAGGGAACACACCTCAACATAATGAAGGCCATAAACAAAAAAGCCCACAGCTAACATCATACTCAATGGTGAAAACAGAACTTTTCCTCTAAGATCAGGAACAAAACAAGGATATCCACTCTCATCACTTTTATTCAACATAGTACAGGAAGTCCTAGCTGCAGCAATCAGACAAAAAAAAAGAAATAAGGCATTTATATTGGTGAAGAAGTAGTAAAACTGTCACTATTTGCAGATAACATTATAATGAATATATAGAAAACCCTAAAGATTCCACACACACACAAAAATCTAGAACTGATTAATGAATTCAGTAAAGTCACAGGAAACAAAATTAATACACAGAAATCCGTTGCGTTTCTATACATTAATAATGAAGTAGCAGAAAGAAATTAGGAAAACAATTCCATTTACAACTGCACCTAAGGAAATGAAAGACCTGTACTCTGAAAACTGTAAAACACTGATGAAAGAAATTGAAGATGGCACAAATGGAAAGATATTCCATGCTCATGGACTGGAAGAACCAATATTGTTAAAATGTCCATACTACTCAAAGCAATCTTTGGATTTAATGCAATCCCTATCAAAATGCCAAGCATTTTTCACAGAACTAGAACAAATAATACTAAAATTTGTGTGGAACCACAAAAAAACTCCAAATAGCCTTTCTTGAGAAAGAAGAACAAAACTAGGGGCACCTGGGTGGCTCATTCAGTTAAGCATTTGCCTTCGGCTCAGGTCATGATCCCGGGGGTCCTGGAATTAAGCCCACATCTGACTCCCTGCTCAGTGGGGAGTCTGCTTCTCCCTCTCCCTTTGCCCCTCCTCCCCAGCTCATGTTCTCTCTCGCCACCTCTGTCTCTCTCTCTCTCAAATAAATAAAATCTTTTTTTTTGAAAACAGAACAAAGCTGGGGTTATCACAATTCCATATTTTAAGATATGCTACCAAGCTGTAGTAATCAAAACAGTATCAAACTGGCACAAAAATAGACACATAGATCCATGGAACAGAATAGAGAGCCCAGAAATAAAGCCATGCTTATATGTCAATTTATGACAAAGGAGGCAAGAATATACAATGGGGACAGGACCATCTCTTCAACAAATTGTGCTGGAGAAACTGGACAGCTACGTGCAAAAGAGTGAGACTAGACCACTTTCTTACACCACACACAAAAATAAACTCAAAATGGATTAAAGACCTAAATATGAGACCTGAAACTATAAAACTCCTAAAAGAAAACATAGGCAGTAATCTCTTTGAGATTGGCCATAGAAACATTCTAGGTATGTCTCCTGAGGCAAAGGAAACAAAAGCAAAAATAAACTACTGGGACTACACCAAAATAAAAAGCTTTTACACAGTGAAAGAAACCATCAACAAAACAAAGAGGCAACCTACTGAATGGGAGAAGATACTTGCAAGTGATATATCTGATAAGGGGTTAATATCCAAAATATGTAAGGAATTTACACAACACACACAAATCCAATTGAAAAATGAACAGAGGACTTGAATAGACACTTTTCCCAAAGAAGATGTACAGATGGCCAGCAGCCACGTGAAAAGATGCTTAACATCACTAATCATCAGAGAAATGCAAATCAAAGCTACAATGAGGTATTACCTCACACTTGTCAAAATGACTGGAATCAAAAAGACAAGAAATAACAAGTATTGGTGAGGATTTGGAGGAAAAAAAGGAATCCTTGTACACTATTAGTGGAAATCCAAATTGGTACAGCCACTGTGGAAAACAGTATGGAGCTTCCTCAAAAATTTAAAAATAAAAATACTATATGATCCAGTAATTCCTCTACTGGATATTTACCCAAAGAAAACAAAAACTCTAATTTGAAAAGATATATGCACTATGTTTATTATAGAATTATTAACAATAGCCAAGATATGAAAGCAACCCGAGTGTGCATTGATAAATGAATGGATAAAGAAGATGGGGTATATATATATATATATATATGTGTATGTATGTGTACCTGTGTGCGTATACATACATACATATATACACACAATGGAATATTACTCAGCCATTAAAAAGAATGAAATCTTGCCATTTGCAACAACATGGATGGACCTAGAAAGTACAATGCTAACTGAAATAAGTCAGAAACCACACGATTTCAGTCCTATGTAGAATTTAAGAAAACAAATGAACAATAAAAAAAACAACAAACAAAAGCCTCTTAAATACAGAGATTGAACAGGTGGTTGCCAGAGGGGAAGTAGGTGGGGAGATGGGTGAAATAAAGGGGCCTAAGAGGTACAAACTTCCAGTTAAAAAATAAAATAAAATTTTATTTTATTATTTATTATTAATTAATTAATTAATTTATTTATTCTTTATTATTATAAAAAATAAGATAAATAAAATTTCATGGACATGAAAAGTACAGCAAAGGGAATATAGTCAGTAAGATTATAAAATGGTATTTGGAGACAGATGATGACTTCACTGGATGAGCACTGAGTAATGTGTAGAGATGAACATAGATGCAAAAACCTTCAACAAAATATTAGCAAACTGAACTCAATAATACATTAAAAAAAATATTCACCACAGTCATGTGGGATTTATTCCAGGGATGCTAGAGTGGTTCAGTATTCACAAATCAATCAACATGATACATCACATTAACAAGAGAAAGGAAAAAAATCACATTATCATCTCACAGATGCAGGAAAAGCATTTGATAAAGTACGACAGTCATTTATGATAAAAAGTCTCAACAAGTAGGCTTGGAGGGAACACATCTCAACATAATGAAGGCCATATACAAAAAAACCCACAGCTAACATCATACTCAATGGTGAAAACAGAACTTTTCCTCTAAGATCAGGAGCAAAACAAGGATATCCACTCTCATCACTTTTATTCAACATAGTACAGGAAGTCCTAGCTGCAGCAATCAGACAAAAAAAAAAGAAATAAGGCATTTATATTGGTGAAGAAGTAGTAAAACTGTCACTATTTGCAGATAACATCATAATGAATATATAGAAAACCCTAAAGATTCCACACACACACAAAAATCTAGAACTGATTAATGAATTCAGAAAACAAATGAACAATAAAAACATGTTTCCTAGGAAGACATCAATCTCCTGACTCAGTTGAAAGAAGAGACAGAGGCCATTACCACTGGTGTCAATAACCCTTGGCATTGCTTTCAGGTAGTTCAGGTCTCATACAATTGCAGTGAAAACAAGCATCTTTTAGTAACAGACTCTTGAAAGTACACGTACTGCTTTCTTAAAGCCGGAGGCAAGAAAGACAGTGGTCCCCTGAGCTATGAAGGTCTTTTATTGATAAAATTATGCCTATTAAAGTAACAGCAACCTCCCTGTTTCTCCAGCTGGCAACCCAACCAAAAATAAACTTGCCCTACTTTTCCAGTATGTTTCACATTGAGAGGAATGGTGGTGGCACCTGCTCAGGGGTCAATGCCATATTGAATGTCATTTACTGTTCAAATCAGCTGCAGTGAAATTAACCTCTGTATACTCCCTAACCACTTACCTCCTGCATCTTGCAGTCCCCTGGTGATGAATATCTCACTCATGGGTGGCTATATAGCAGGGATTAAAAGACGGTTGATACCCAGGAGAGACTATGGACTCCGAGAAACAAACTGAGGGTTCTAGAGGGGAGGGGGTGGGGGATGGGTTAGCCTGGTGATGGGTATTAAAGAGGGCACGTTCTGCATGGAGC